AAAAAAAAAAAACCAAGAACAAAAAACAATAGATGTCCAAAGTGGCGAGGTGGGTGAAGCCCCTGGTAAGTAAAAGTCCTCTCCTCACTCTACCCTATCCAGGTAAAGATGGCTGGGCTCATTACTTCCAGGCGTCTGCAATCCTAGTAAGGGTAGTGTCCTTGACCCAAACTTGTCCAGGTGACCCAGAAAGTGGGAGTCATAACCCCAGGGAATCATTTTCTTTCCCGCATCAGTTAAAGAGGTGGCCATCCACTTGGCCTGAGAGAGTAACATTTCCTCACCTATGGCTCAAGTAGCAATTGGTCCTGCCAGGGAAGTGGTGATGGGTGCTTTTGATTACTTTGGAGGCTCTACAGCTGCCAAGTAGCTAATGAGCCCCTAGTTCCTGATGCTTTGAACAACCCAGACAGGGCCTTTATAGTCTGCAAAGCAATCCAAACTAGATGATATACTTATCCCTTCCAATGCCTCTCTCATCCCTGTCTACACTGCTTCCTCTGCCCACCTTCACCCAAACTTGCCAGCGGTCTCGGCGCAGCGCGCCCAGGTGGGCTGGGCATGGGACTCCTCCATATACCTACCTCTGGCCCCGAGACTTTCTTCAGCACCCAGCGCTGCCCACCACCCTCACGCCTCCATTCTCTATTCAGGGGCCTCCTGCTGTGTACTCCAACAGCACTATTCCAAAGAGCTCATGGGACGTGGGGCGTGGCGAGGCAGTTTGAGGTTCCTGCTCAGCCTGAGCAGACAGGTCGCCGCAGGGCAGAGCCTCCCTCACGGCGCTCCGATCACGCGCCAAAATGTTCCCACGGCCGGAAGCACGACGGGATGCTTCGGTGCTGACGCATGCGCAGAGCCACAGGCTTCCCTTGAGCTTCTTTGGTTCCTGCATAGGATCCTTCCGCCTGTAAGGGGCGATGGGCGGGTCCTTACCCGGGGTTGGCACGCCGGCGTAACCCGGAAGAGGTTACTTAATAGGCTTTTGGAGACCGTGGTGGGAGCTTCTGGGAATCTCAACGCTGCTGTGGGGATATCATGAACGCCCCTCCAGCCTTCGAATCCTTTCTGCTCTTCGAGGGTGAGAAGAAGTAAGTGGGGCCGGCTGGGGCTGGGGAGGGTCTGGCCGAGACTCGTGAGCCCTGGACCGTCGCCTGTCAGCCCTGCGGATCTTGGGGTTCTTCTGTGGGCCCTCTGCCTAGGGACTAAGAGGCTTTTGCTTGAACAAAAGCTTGGCCTGTTTCTGCCAAGCTGAAGGCAGCCCTGCACGGCAGCGGCGACTATACTCATTTTGCAGAGAAGGAAAATAAGGCCCAGAAGAGTAACTTGCCTGGGACACGCAGGAAGTGGTGGGGCTTAAGTTTAGGGTGACCAGATTTTAACATTTGTAAAGCGGGACAACATGACTGGGGGCGGGGCAGGGGACGGGACGGGGCAGGGCAGGGCCTGACAACAGTGCAAACTTTGGTAAGTAGTTCTCGATAATCACTTCTCAACAATTATTTGTTATTATTGCAGTTTAACATTATAAAATTAACAAAAATAATATAAAACTCATATTCTGGTGAAATAGCCACATGGCAGCCGAAAACCGTATATTCCCTTCCTGTTCTCCCGCCCGTTGGAGCATTCTTTCCAAAAATCGGGACTTTTTTTAAAACGCCGCGGGACGCGGGACAAATTGTTAAAAAGCGAGACTGTCCCGCCAAAAACGGGACGTCTAGTCACCCTACTTATATTCGAACCCAGATTCCCCCAAGAGTCCTTTTCCTCTGGGATCTGGCAGCCTCCCTGCTCTTCTTCCACCACCTCCATCCTCCATGTGACAGCTGGAGTGATGTCTGTAAAGCTCACATTTGATCTGCCACTCGCCTGTGTAAAACCTGCCTGTGACTTTTCACCACCTGCTGAAGAACCTACTGATCCGACAGCCTGAGTTTGGCTTCTGGATCCCCCACTTAACGAGACTCTGTCTTTGGAAAATGAGTTTACTAATGTATTTAAACATAGGGTTTCCTGTAAGAGGAGATTGAGATAGTTTGTGTAAAATACTTAGTCCAGAGCTGAGCACGTAGGAGACGTTGTAAATACCACCTTTTCTTATGAATGACAGCCTAGAATGCAGGGTTTTTTTCTTTCTTTTCTTTTCTTTCTTTCTTTTTTTTTTTTTTGTGGAGACAGTCTCACTTTATCACCTTCAGTAGATTGCTGTGGGGTTACACAGCTCACAGCAACCTCCAACTCCTGGGCTTAGGCGATTCTCTTGCCTCAGCCTCCCAAATCTCTGGGACTACAGGTGCCCGCCACAATGCCCAGTTATTTTTTTGTTGCAGTTCGGCGGGGCCGGGTTTGAACCTGCCACCCTCAGAATATGGGGCCAGCGCCCTACCCACTGAGCCACAGTCGCTGCCTGAATGTAGGGTCTTATGGTCTACACTTCAGCCTCCTTTAGAACAGACTCTAAACTGGGGAATATTTTGCTCTCCCGGGGACATTTGGCAACATCTGGAAACATTTTCGGTTGTCACAGGGGTTACTACTGGCACCTACTAGATAGAGACCTGGGCTGCTGCTAATGTTCTACAATGTACAAGATGGATCCGTATAGAAAAGAATTATCTAGACTAAAATGTCAGTGGTGTCAAGACTGAGAAACTCTGCTTTTGAAAAAAGAGCAATCCAGCATGGGTTAAGGGCACCAGAGTCAGGTTAGCTAAACTCAGTGCTGCTGTGTGTCAGAGAGGTCTTCAGGGGATGAACAGATTAAGAAGGGCCTCTAGGAGGAGGCAGCACTTGAGGTTGGAGGCAGGATTTAGTTCCTTTTTTTTTTTTTTTTT